ACAGACAAGCAAATCAACAATGACACTATGTAAGGATAAGAGGGGTCAAGAGCCAAGTGAACACAGAGGAAGAAGAACTTAACTTTGCCTGGAAGAATCAGAGAAGGCTTCACAGAGGAGGTGATGCTTTGGTTGAATCTTGGAGAAGCAGAAGTTTATGAGGGAGGGGACTGAGAGGAAGGCTTCTAGGCAGAGGGAGCAGCACCTATCTTTAATAATCATGTAGCTGTTCATCATGTGTCTCTTCTTCTTCTTCTTTTTTTTTTTGGTGAGGAAGATTGGCCCTGAGCTAACACCTGTTTCCAATCTTCCTCTTTTTGCTTGAGGAAGAGTGGCCCTGAGCTAACATCTGTGCCCATCTTCCTCCACTTTGTATGTGGGATGCCTGCTACAGCATGGCTTGATGACTGGTGTAGGTCTGTGCCCGGGATCTGCACCTGCGAACCCTGGGCTGCCAAAGCTGAGCGCACCGAACTTAACCACTGCGCCACTGGGCCGGCCCCCATGTGTCTCTTCTTAACATCTTTTATAGTTTGTCTTGTATTTCTAGCAGCTTTTCATATACTATGCCTTGTCTGCTTTTAACTGGCTTATGAATGCCTTTAGGAGAGGGGCCACATCCTCTATTTTTCCTCTGTAAAGTGGGGGTTGCAACACCTACTTTACAGAATTGCTATCAGTATTAGGGATAATTCATGAGACATACATGGTAGGAACTCAATGATTTTTTTCTGTAATGAATAAATGAAGTGTCTAACTCAGTTTCCGGCCTACACTAAGGTATTCAGTACTTGTTGAATGAATGATCCTACCCTGGGTCAAAACTGTTGTGTCCACAGCTGGAACTCTGTGCTTTGGAAGGCCTCATTGGACTGGAACGCCTCAATGTTTCAGTGGGGTGGGGATAACAGCCTCTGAGAGCCAAGCAAACAGATGAGGAATCTCCAATCTGAAGAGGAGGCAGAGATATTCAGATTCAACTCTGGTTCACGGAATGTTTATTTTTTGCATAATTCTCACAATGTTCCATTACCATCTCCACTTTGCAGATAAGAACACATATTCAGAAAGGTTAAATACCTTGCCAGAGGCCACACAGCTAGATGATGGGATCCACTGGATTCCAAGTTCAATGCTCTTTTCACTTCAACACAAAAACTTTCATGATGTAGAAAAACATCGAGAGTTTGGATAAGTTAAATACAGACCTGTTTGCAAAATTCTCTAAATATTCAAACCACATGTAATTTCTAGAGCTAGAAAGAGGTTGTTTTAAGGCAAATAAAAGGAAGGGTTGCCTTATGTTGGGGGTGGGGTGGGAATAAACACAAGAACTGTATTATTATGATAAATAGCACAGACTGAAAAAGGAAAAAAATTAACAAAGAATTAATAAAATCATAGACAAAAGATCCCTGGCAAGTGATGAAAAGACCAGACCTCCTCTTCTCCCTCTGCTTGAGTTATGAGAATACCCCAAGCCTAAGTCTGGGTTCTTGTCAAAGGCAACTGGGGGCTATTTGAGGTTTGGGTTCCTATTCTTTTGAGCAGGCCAGCTGTGCCCTCCATAGCCTGTCTCTGGCAAAGCTGTTGTAGAAAGTATCTTGGGCTGTAACAAAACATTGGTTATAGTGAATATTTCTCTTTTTCCTCCCTAAAAGTTTGGCCTGAGAGTCTAGAATTTAATATTAAACAACCAAAGTAAGTTTAGGGAGACAGCGATTAAATATCATACATCAAAATCAAATATATGCAAAACCAATATACAGAAATCAATTGTATTTCTACATATTAGCAATGAACAATTGGAAATTGAAATTAAAAATAACATTTACAATTGTATCAAAAATATGAAATACTTAGGGGATAAATCTGACAAAGGATCTGCACACTAAAAACTACAAACCATTGCTCAGATAAGGAAGACAAATAAATGGAGATATATATCATGTTTGTGGATTGGAAGACTCCATATTGTTAAAATGTCAATTTTCCCAAAATTGATCAATAAATTCAATGTAATCCCAATTAAAATCCCAGAGGGCTTTTTTTTGTAGAAATTGGCAAGCTGATTCTCTCACACGGAAATGTGAAGGACCTGGAATAGCTCAAACAAACTTTAAAAAAGAAGAACAAAATTGGAGGACCTATACTACCAGATTTCAAGACTTCTTATACAGCTACAGTCATCAAAACATTAAGATAGAAAAACAGATCAGTGGAACAGAATAGAGTCCAGAAATAGACCCACGTATATACAGGCTATTAATTTTTTTTTCTTTCTCAAAAATTTTTTTTACTTGCTCAACTAATTTTTGACAAAGATGCAAAGGCATTTCAGCAGAGAAAGGACAGTCTTTTCAACAAATGCTGCTGGAACAATTGGATATCTATATGCAAAAAAATGAACTTTGATCCATACCTCACACCATATACAAAAATTAAAATGAATCACAGATCTCAAGCAAGTTGTTAATGCATAACCTCAATCTAATAACGAGCAAACATCACATAAAATGAAACTGAGAGACATTATACAAAACAACTAGCATATACTTTTCAGGAAAGACTTAATAACTGTCCTAGATTGAGGAGACTAAGGAGACAGTCAATTTAAAAAAATGGGCAAAGGATTTGAACAGACATTTCACCAAAGAAGATATATGGATGACAAATAAGCATGTGAAAAGATGCTCAGTATCATTAGTCATTATGGAGATGCAAAATAAAATCACAATGAAATACCACTACATATCTATTAGGATGGCTACAACTGAAGAGAATGATCACACCAAGTGTTGGAGAGGATGTGGAACAACTGGAACGTTTGGACATTGCTGATAGGAATTTTAAATGATATAACCATTTTGGAAAACAGTTTGGCAGTTTCTCAAAAAGTTAAGTATATATCTACTATGTGATCCCGCCATTCACTCCTAGTTATTTACCCAAGAGAAAATGAAATATATGTCCATACAAAGATTTGTGCATGAACAGTCATAACAGCTTTATCTGTAACAGCCCAAAACTGGAAACAACCAAATGCCGATCAACAGGTGAATGATAAATTGTGTATCCACACAATAGCACACTACTCAGCAATAAAATGGAATGAACTATTGATACATACAACAACATGGGTGAATCTCAAAATAATTATGTTGAATAAAAGAAGCCAGACACTCCCCCCCAAAGAGCATATACCATATGATTCTACTTATATAAAATTCTAGAAAATGCTAACTAAACTAATGACAAAAAGCAGATTAGTGGCTTCCCGGGGATCAGAGGGTGGGAGGGAGAGATTACAAAGGAGCATGAGGAAACTTTTGGGAGTGATTGAATGTTTACTATCTTGATTGTGGCGATATTTTCATGGGTGTACACATAACTTATCAAATTGTACACCTTAAATATGTACGGCTTATTGTATGTCAATTATACCTCAGTAAAGCTGTTTAGTCAACTACATGTAGATATCAAGCACAAATTTTCAGTTAGGTCCTGAGAATGCCAACAGATCGAGGATTCACCAAAAGGGCCAGCCCACACCTGGAACCTGAGATGAGGAAATCTCAAGTGGAATGAGCAGCCATTAATAACACTTTGAAAACACCTTCTTCTGTCATTTCTCTCCTTCTCAGGCCCTAGCCTTCTAGCTAGTTTCTGGAAGGAGCCAGGAGACCGGTGTGGGATGGGCATGACTCTGGGAGCCGCCCAGGCCTGAGCTCTCTGACTGCCTTTGGGAAGAGCTGAGCTGAGGCTGGGGGTGTTTCCACAGCTCAGGAAGAGGAGCTGGAAGAGAAGCAATGAAGCAAACAGAAGGAGCTGGAGACGAGTTGGGGAGAGTAACTATTCAGAACCATGTAATCCAGGGGCTGGAAGGGAGCTAAGAGAACATGGGCTTCAGTAATACTTGTTTGTGGATAAAAGAACAAGACCTTGACCTTTCGGTGACACAACTGGGGCTCTAATCCAGGGGCTCTAATCCAATTTCCCATCTACACCTATTCCCATTATGCCAAATGGCCACTGTTTACCGTATACAAGCTGGTTTTCACTTCATTCAACATTTGTAGAATACCTATTTATGATAAGAATAGGATAAATCCCAGAGTCTGAAGGAGCTCACAGTCTAGCAGAGACAGATTTACAGCCAGAGGTGACTTTAAGGTGACTTTAATAATAAAAGCACTAGTGTAATAAGTGCTATAAATAAGGTGCAAACGACATGGTATGAGAATACAGAAGAGGGGAAAACCTTTCTATTCGGAAAAGAGAAATTCGGTGATGGGAGGAAATCTGGGAAATCCTGCCACGAATGGCAACGAACACTCTTTAGCAGGTGCTCAATAAATGTTAGTATCCTTCCTTCCTTCACGTTATGACCCCAGCCTAACTTTCCTTAAGTCACACCAAACCCCTCTGTTCCTGAACAGCATGACGTTTCCTGCCACTGTGCTTTTTGCATCTGAATTTCTCTCCTCCTGGAATGGCATGTCCTTCCCAGAACGGAAGGTGACATGAAATGGAGAATATAAAGCATATGGTGACAGTTAAGCGCACGAGCTATGGAAGCCAGCCTCATGCTCTTCATCTGCGAAATGGAGATAATAGTAAGATTCATTTCATACGGTGGTTGAGTGGAATAAAAGGACACCCTATAAAGCTTTTAGCATCACGTCTGGCACAGAACGAGCGCTCAGGACATATCCGCAGTGTTTGTCCGTGCGCAGCGACCTTCTCCGCCCGCCTCGCCCAGCGCAGGAGCCGCCCCTTGACCGGCCCGTCAGAGCCCGGGTCGCCCAGCGTCGCGTCCGCGCCGCCACGTCGCCGCCTCCCCTCTCCTCACACCCGGGTTCACCAGCCCCTGCCCCGCACTAGGTAGCCGGTTCCCCAGACCGCGCCCGACCGGCCTGCGTCCTCCGATTGGCTCTTACGGGTGCCTGTCTTCCTAGGCCGCTGAGGATTGGCTGCGGTGGGTGGGGAGGGCGGGCCTCGGGGAGCGTAGGAAGGGCGGGGACCCGGATGTGAGTGGTGGCGGCGGCCGAAGAGCTAGTGTGCGGAGCTGAGAGGCCTATGGATGAGGAGGACGCGGCGGCCCCGGTAGGCGGGGATCGGGGCGGGGTCCCGAGGCCTCGGGTCTCCCCGGAGCCTGAGGCGGGAGGCGGGGGTCCTGGGCGGAGGCTGGGGTCAGGGGCGGGGCCTTGCGCTCTGGTCGCTGGGCTTCCTCCCTGGGGACCCTCCTGGGCCCAAGCGGGGCCTGGGAGCCTGGGCGCGGTCACACTGACCGGCCGGGCCTCGTGGCCCCCGCGTCTCGTGTGAGTGACCAGGCCGTGCCCGGGGTGGGGGCGGGGCCGGTGTGGCCGCCACTCGCTGGTGCCAAGGCTGTGGGGCTCCGGGCGAGCAGATGGCCCTAGGTCTGGGGCGCCGGGTTCTCCCTGGGGTCGAGGACTGGCCGAGTGCCCGGGAGGGCTGCCCGCAGGTGCCTACCCTCTGGGCCACGTGGTGGCGTGGAGCTACTGCCGAAGGGGGTAATATGCGCTTTGGGATTGAATTCAGCCCCACCAAGGCTTCCTAAGCACCTACTGTGTGCAAGTCACTGTCAGGCTTTGGTGGAACCCCTGTCCCGGGGTTTGGGGGATGGGAAGAGAAGGGTCCCTCCCCTTGTTCTCACTTTTGGCACCCAGGAAAAATTTATTCATTCATTCATGTGTTAGCACTGTTGGTGGTTTAAATACCGGGGTCATCCTACTCCTGTCCCTCTTCTCTGCTGCCATCTTAGTGGGTGCCATCTCTCATGGGAACTGCTGCAACAACCCCCTCATTCATTGTTGGCCACTTCTGCTCTTGCTCCTCTTATGATCAGTTCTCCAACCAACAGCTGGAGTGATCTTTAAGATCTGATAAACCTTAAAATCTTAGCATTTTCCTGCTTAAAACCCTCCAGAGGTTTCCTAGCACACTTGGAATAAAATCCAAGCTCCTTAACAAGGTCTGTAGGGCCTTGATCCAGCCCCTGCCTTCCTCCCGCCTCTTCTTCTACATTCTCCCTCACATTCCCTAAACACCAGCCACCCTGGCCTTTCTACTTCTCTACCATGCTAGCTCCCTTCCACCCCAGGACCTGTGTCCTGGCTGTCCCCTCTGCCTGGAATGCTCTTTCTTGGGCTTGTCACATGCCTGGCTCCTTCTCATCTCAACTCAAAGGGCACCTCCTCAGAGAGGCCTTCTCTGTCCACTCTATCCAAAGTGTTCTTTAGATAGAGTTCACCAGTTATTCTTTGTCACACCACTCTGCTTTCTCCTCCACTGTCTAACGTTGTCATATCTGTTTACTGTCTGTCATGCCTCCCCCACTAGAATGGAAGCACTGCGAGAACAGGAATTCCATCCATCTTGTTCACAGCTGTATCCCTACACCTAGAATAGTGCACACAGTAGCAGCTCAGCAAATGTTTGCTGAATGAAAGGATGAGGATGGGGATTGTTGAGGTCAGTGTGGGCAACCGGCTTCAAGTCCAGTGCCCTGTCTGCATTCTGGGTTGAACAGGCTGAGGGGCTTTGCTCAGGGTCCTGCTTCCCCGTCAATCCCCATCTACCCATGGCAGGTTTGTTCTCATGAACAAGATGGATGACCTCAACCTGCACTACCGGTTTCTGAATTGGCGCCGGCGGATCCGGGAGATTCGAGAGGTCCGGGCTTTCCGATACCAGGAGCGGTTCAAGCACATTCTTGTAGATGGAGACACTTTGAGGTGGGTTTAGGGGAGTGCTTCCACATTTGCCTTTCTGTGCCAGATCTTAGAGATGAAAAAGGGCTTTTTCAGAGGCAGAGGACTATCTCCATGGCCCTGGGAGGGGCTGCCGTTGACCCTGGAGGCTTCTCTGCATGAGCACACACTGCTCCACCCTGCACTCCTTTCTGCCTGGGTCTCTGGGTCACTCTGTCCTGGTCTGCATTGCAAGCAATTATGTCAGAGATAGGAGGCGTGTTCAGGAGTTGCCAAGTGCCTTGTCGAGAGGACTCCAGTGGGTCTGTGGGGTGTCTGGGTCTCCTTCTGCCTGCATCTCAGGGGTTGGGTTTGGTGAAGAGTGGCAGTTTCAAAGGCAGTGGCTTTCCTGTTTTTGGAAGGACAGTTCTGTGGTGCCTCCTGCCCACCACCTTCCAACCCTATGGTTTGTGTGTTTGTGTTTGTGTTCTCTCTTTTCTGGCTTGAACCCCTTCCCTGACTCCTTCTGAGCCTCATTTTCTCACAAAGTTGTCAGTGAAGGGGAAAGGAAGTAGTGCTATTTAGCCTGGAGACAAGAAAGCTGAGGAGTGGAGACTGAATAACTGTCCTCCAGTCTACGAAGGGCTTTGGTACAGAGGATAGAGACCAGCCGTTCTCCAGCTCCGCTGAGGACAGAGCCAGAGGAAAAGGGCCGAAGCTGCAGCATGAGGGATTGAGGTTAGACAGGGTTATGAGACCCCAATAGGCAACTAAGGGAGGCTCTGCATTCTTTTCCCCCTGGAAATGAAGAAGCCAGGCTTGCGTTGGTCTGGTGTGGGTTGGACCCTGGCTGGAGGCAGTGGGAGGGGTGGGTGACCTCAAGTCTCTTGTTATGGTGTCTGTGCAGATGTCCTGAAGTGTGGCCTGATGGATTCTCCTCTGCAGGGTGGGGGTTGGGGATGCTGAGGCCCTCCTCCCGACTCCTAGGCTAGGCTGCTAACGGAACTCCCCCCTCATTCCTCCTTCAGTTACCATGGAAACTCTGGTGAAGTTGGCTGCTACGTGGCTTCTCGACCCCTGACCAAGGACAGCAATTATTTTGAGGTGATCAAGGCAGTGGGTGGGCAGAGCAGGGGGTGAGATCTTTAAGCCCCAAGGAGCTCTTTTACTAGATTCTTCATCTGGTCTTTTTAATTTTCCATCAGGGCTGTCCTGTTGGCTGGGAAAAGGGCACAGGATAGCATGGTGCCTAATCTGAGAGACAGGTGCCCTGGGGTCCTGTCACCCTGTCGCTTCTGCTCTCCTGCCCCTCACCTAGGTGGACTTTGACCCATGTCCTTTCCCACCCCTAACCCAAGCCCAGCATGTACTCCCTCTCCTATCTTTTTCTGTAGCTTGGAAACTGTTTTCTAAGTAATCATGGTAAAGTAGGCCCCACTCTCTCCAGGTCTCCCTCTGAGTGCCCTGACTTTTTCTCTGATTCCCATGTCTTTTGTCTCTTTGAGCCTCAGCCCCCTTTGAGTTCTGACTCCCCTTCTCTGCAGCCCCAGCAATTCATTTCCCATTCCTGCTAACCATGCCCTGCTCTCCCCCTCCAGGTATCTATTGTGGACAGTGGGGTCCGGGGCACCATTGCTGTGGGGCTGGTCCCTCAGTACTACAGCTTGGATCACCAGCCTGGCTGGCTGCCCGACTCCGTGGCCTACCACGCTGATGATGGCAAGTGAGTTGCCTCCTGTGGACCTTGACCCCTTTCCTGTGGATTCGGGAATCTCAGACATAAAGGACTATCAGGGCGACTCTTGCCATTCCTTCACCTATCTTGGGGTATTTTCATAGACTTTTCTGGTCAGGACAGGAAGGTGGCCTGATGGCTACCCTTGGAGGCTTGCAGACTTAGAGGGGAGGGTAGAGCACACATGGGGACATAGGTAGATGCCATCGCAGAATGACTGGGAACAGTGAGACAAGGCCTCAGCTGTTTTCACTGGGAAGAAGTTGGGAGGCCAGGCTCAGGTCCTGTGTCTGTGCTGCTGTGTCCACAGGCTGTACAATGGCCGAGCCAAGGGCCGCCAGTTTGGGTCAAAGTGCAACTCCGGGGACCGGATTGGCTGTGGCATTGAGCCTGTGTCCTTTGATGTGCAGACTGCCCAGATCTTCTTCACCAAAAATGGGAAGCGGGTGAGTGGGAAATCCTGGGTGGGACATAAGTGGCTTGAAGCTGTCCAAGGATTTGTGGGAGTGATAAGAAAAAGTCTGCTGGCTGGGGCTTGCCCAGGGACCCACAGGCTCAGTTTCCATCTCCTTCAGTCCAGCCTCCGATTCTCCTGAAGTCTCCTGCGTGTAGGAGAAGATGCCGCCCCTGCCCAGGGAAGGCTAGGACATCACCCAGATGATACACGTAGAGGGGCAAGTTAGTGCAGTGGAGGATGAGCAGAAATTGTGGGGGACAGAATCAGGTGATTTGGGGGAAGGTTTTGAGCAGGAAAAAAGAGGGGGAGATTATGTCTTGGCTGCATAAGCTGGAGGTTGTCCTCTTTGGGTTTTTGACTTGAATGCTTTTGAGGATTTGTCCTTTCTGTGTTTTATTTTCTTGGTTTCACTTCTCCTTTCCTTCCCTCTCCAGAGAGAGATTCATAGTGGTGAAGAGATGGGAAAGGAGCAAATAGAAGAGAGAGACCCCAGCTCTCTTTCTTCCCCTACCCAGCTCCATCCCCACCCTGGGAAAATTGCCTTCTCAGACCTTGGGGGAGAGGCCTTACCCCTTAGCATCTGTGCCTCAGCACTTTCCTACTCGGGACACACTCACATGTACCAGAAGTATTTGGCAGCAAGTCAAGAGACTTGTGTTTGCCCTCTAGCTCTGTGGATACCTTGCTCGGCAAGGAGGACTTAGCAACTTTTAAAATTTTTCTGTACCTCTGTTTTTCTGTCAGTGTGTGTGATAATTATGCGTTGCGTCATCTCGAAAGTCCCCTTGTGAGAATTAGATGAGCTGTGGAAAGGTGAGCCACGCAGCAGCTCCCTCCTTCCCTCCTTCCGCTGCAGGTGGGCTCCACCATCATGCCCATGTCCCCAGACGGGCTGTTCCCCGCAGTGGGCATGCACTCCCTCGGTGAGGAGGTGCGGCTGCACCTCAATGCGGAGCTGGGCCGCGAGGACGACAGTGTCATGATGGTGGACAGTTACGAGGATGAGTGGGGCCGGCTGCACGATGTCCGAGTCTGCGGAACTGTAAGTAAGGGGCAGTGGGTGGGAGGGGGTGGGCAGAACACCTGTGGGGCCACATAAGTGTGTCTTGATTGCTTAAAATGGGGAGTGAGGATGTCTTTTGCAGAGTTTTGGGCAGTGGGAATCTTGGTAGGGTAGCCTGCGGCCCTGACATGACTCCTTGCGTCCAGATCTGTGTCCTTCTCAGCGCTGAGTCTCCTTCTTCCCTTGCCCTTCATCTGAGAGCTCAGGTTACTGGCTTTACCTTTGGAACAAGTAGTAGTTCTCCTCGGCCTTCTTTGGTGCCTTCAGCCCCTGGAGCCCTCTGCTGCCCTGCACACCTGCCTTGAGAGCGTGAGGCTGATTTGGAGGCTGGAGGCTTGGATCTCCCTTTTGGGGGAAAGCTGGCCTAAGCTTTCCATCCACTGTGCTGTGGGGCAGGTGTGGTCACAAGTCCCACTCATGTGGAAGAAGGTTCTTTGAGATCTTTTTTGAGTAAATGTCAATGTCTTCTGTCTTCCCTCTATGTTTTATAGGGGATGTGGATAGAGGCAGATGAAGATTCAGTGAGAATCCTTGACCTGCCAAAGCTTGATTTTTTATACCTCTTCTCGTCATACCTGCTTTAGTTTCTCCCTGGATTTGATTTTATTTACTCATTTATTTATTTATTCATTCATTTATTTAGTGAGTGAGTGAGTGAG